CCATCCATCCATCCATCCATCTAAATGTGGAAAGTTCCTTATATCCATCCATGCATCCACCCATGCATCCATCCATCCATCCATCCATCCATCCAACTAAATGTAGAAAGTTCCTTATATCCATCCATCCATCCATGAATGAATGAAGAGAAGCAGCAGCTCTAACCTGCGCTCCCTCTGGAGGAGGATATCCTCAGGTGAGAAGCAAAATGTCTTCAATAAAAATAAAAAGAATCCCAGCTGCCTTCTATTTAACCCTCTAAAATATCAAACTATAAATATTACTGTCAGAAATGACAAACGTTTTTGAGGGTATGTGTAGTTTTAAGGTAACAGGAGGATTACCCCAGAAACTGGTTTATTATGATGCTTCACATTAAATCCATCACATTTTCATCACAGTAAGTAAACACCGGTGATTAAAACAAGAACTATTTAATACAAAAAAAAAAAAATTCAATGCTATGTGAAGTAATATACATTTTTAACGAAACAAAGTCTAAAATAAACCTTCATATAACCTGCTACTTAATAGTGACCATTTATTTTTAACACTCTTTGCAGTAGAAACAATTTAAAAATCAAAGAGTCTGCAGGTGAATATAATGTTTTAACAAATAAATCCAACACAAAACTTTTTCTAACATTTAATTAATGGACTAAGATTTGTATTACAAGTATTATGAATTTATACAATTAGTTATCTAATAAAAAATTAAATCAAAAAACAAGGACATGTTTTAGGGCCAAACCACATATATTTATAAATGAAGAATAGATTAAAACAAACACTGTATTTGCCTGTGAATTTGTACCTCACAGTAGAGCTTTCATAAAAAAAAAAAAATCAACAAAATCACTAGTGTGAGGTGGGAATCTCTGGTGAAGTAGTTTTTCCCCTCAGATTTCTGGTCCAGAAAATAATAATAATAAAAAAAAGAACTACATTCACAGAATCCTAATGCTGCGTCAGTAAAATCTTAAGGAAAATAAATCAGGATGAGATGATAAAAATATATAACTTCCACTTGTATATAAGTGAATAAAATAAACGCTGACCTGTAGGAAAGGATCACTGACTCCTGCAACATCGTGGTCAGGAGAATAACCTGAAATGATCAGGCCTTTCATGATCTGAACTAAATCTGGTACTGTCTGGAAAACACACATACGTACACATACACAGCACAAACAAGTTATAACACATGTTTAAACAGAATGATTAGGTCAGGATATGTGTGTGTGTGTGCATCAATCAGACCTTCCTGAACCGCTCCAGAGATTCTGGGCTCCGCTCACACAGCTCTGTGATCAGAACAACAGCACCATGCAGCACACCTGTGCAAAAAAAAACAAAAATATGAAGACAGTGAACAGATGAGCAAATTAAACTGGTCATAAAGATCTGCTCACCGTGGTTCTTCTCTGAGAGGAGGGAACGAGCGGAGGGGGCAAAGAGCTCTCCGAGATCCTGGACTTTTCTCACGATGTGCACGGCACATAAAGCAGCCTAAAGAGTCAATGGAACAAAAACATTTTACCAGTTTATATTCAAAATCTATGAATCCATTCATCTAATAAGTTATACATCATATCAGGTAGTAAAACATACACAAATTATTTAGACTATATGGTCACATTTCTTATCTAATTTAAAATTGTATAAATCACACGGTAGATAAAAAAAATAATGTTTGACTGAAGAAGTAGACTTTATCAAATGAAACAACTCAAACCTCCACAGATGTTCAGGAAAATGCTATTTTGTGGATTTTTATACCAAACAGCAACATAGCCTGGGTCCACACTGTAAGGTAGTGTTGCAAACTAATCATTGTTATTTGCACTGTGCTCTCTGTTGAAACTAATATTCTTTGGCTGGAATAACACAAAAGAYGGTGTTAACTTTTGACATTTTTATTTTTTTGAAAGGCAAAATGACCTTTTTGTTGCCTCAATCTGTGCCGAGCAGGGCTCTACAGTAGACTAACTTTTTGCACTGGCTGCACCGGTGCGCCTAACATTTTTTTACTTAGGTGCACCAGTACAAAAGTTAGGTTAACCCAAATTTGAAAACATGATGCATTTAACATCAGCGTTTTAATGGTTCACTTTTTTGTAAATCCTTGTCCACTAAGACAACATTAACTCACAAAACATTTGGTGCCAAAACTTAGCAAAAATGAAGTTTTGTATTTGAACCAGAATCATAGACATTTAACTTACTGAGAAGCATTTAAAGTGATTCTATGACCTGAAATTTTAACTTAAACACCTCCAGATACAATAAATGAAAGAAATTCTGAATTTTATGTGCAAATGTTTAAGGGTTGAACATTTTATAAACATATTAAACATTTCATGGTAAAATGTCTTTTAGACTACACCTGACCCTCAGATGGACCTTCAGGATCTTTGGCCTTGTTTAAACCAGACTGATGAACAGAGAATTATGATTAACAGCAGAAACATTCCTAATATTTATTAAATGAGAAAAAGCTTTTTCAAATAATGAAAAAAAAACATAACATGAAAATGTCTGCAATTTAATTTGTATTAGTTGAATTTCATGTATCTCTCACTAACTAAGCTGTGTAGTCATAAAACCATTTTCAGAACATGGAATGTAACTGTGGTGAAGCCAATTATATGTAAAAGCAGCCTGCCATACAGTGAGCTTCCTCATGCTGCTGGAGTGATCTGCACTGTGCTCTCAGAGCAGAACCCGACTGCAAGATGGACTTTAGGCTACTTACTACTGAGACTTAGAGCAAGCAACCATCTACATTTCATTTCCACAGTTGACAAGAAAAAAAAAAGGTTTTCGACTCTGGTTTGAAACAACAAAAAATAAAAAACACGGATTCACTGTGCGCCAGAGCGTGTGTGCGTGCACATGTTTTAGCTTCATGGAGGGGACAACTGGAAGGTCTAAGTCCCCGTGAGGATAGAAGAACAAGCGTGTGTGTGTGTGTGTGGACGGGTTTTTCCTACAACATGGGGTATTTTTTACAAAAAAAAAAAGCAGCCAGGTGGGGACCGAAGTGAATCGTGGGGACCTAGCA